TACTATATCATACGTCATATTAAACATATCATATTTTGTATTTATTTTTTAAAATTATTAATGAAATAATTTTCCTGAAATTCAAGCAAATTTAGGTATATCAACATAACTGAATGGTAGGTATAGTATTGAACATCCGTAAAGTTTCAGACATATAAACAAATATATACATATATATAATATGTTACCTTATTGGTTATTATAAGTTTCTTTCAATTAAATTACATTTTTGGGAATTCTATAAAAAATGTTTTGTTTGAATATTAAATTTGCTTAATGTTAATGTATAAATAATGTTTAACTGTTACAAATTTACGAAACATCAATGTTYTTAGAACTTTTTAAGTATTTATATGTTATAATTAATTTATTTCCTATTTAATGAAGAATATAGACTCAAATTTAAAATTATAACGAATTTTCAATCAAAATGTACAGTCGAGATGATTTCATYGAGTTGTAATATTCAAAACTTTTGAATTTACAAACTTTGATCAATTTGTATAATAATAAGCACTATTAGTGTTTGTTCATACTAATACAGTAATACGTAACTAAAATAAATATTATTATTATTTAAGGAAAAAAATTGTTCTCTGTTAATTTAATTTTGTTTTTATAAACATTTCAATAATAATGAATTATTTAATTTATTATTTTTCTAGAACGAATGTGGAGTCACAATTTTTACAATTATGACCAAGCAGGCAAACCATCTGATTTGCCAACGCTTCCTTCACGATTATTCCGGAGAATGAAATTCACACAAACAGATTCTGCAGAAGAACGTCACAGTAGTAACCTAGATGATTTTTTCGGGTCGATTTGGTCACTCAAAAGTAAAGTCAGCAACAAGACTCTCGAAATAGTAAGATAACGCATAACAAATTTAATTATTAATTAGTTTAAACAAAAAAAAAACTATTTAAGAAAATCTTTTTACGTAATGTCCGTAATGAGTTTGAGTTGGTTATTAAAATATTATGTCATATTTTAGTTGTGTGAGACTCGACTGGTTATCAAAAAATTGACATTTATAAAAATGAAGCGTATTTAACTAAAAGTTAAATAATTTCTAGGTATCTACAATATGGATGTATACAAACTAAAATAAAACCACTGATTTATTTAAATAGATTTAGATTTCCCTAGAGGTACCTTTTAGTTATTCACTCATTCAGTTTTGAGAAGATCGATTGTTTACAACTTACTGAAACTAAATGGCATTTTGACATGCGAGTATAAAACGTAGCTGCCATGCGATCAAGTTAAAAATAACTTGACACGTTAAACTTGCATTCAACTCGACCGCATAGTTCTGTTGTTTTGACCACAATCGATTTGTGTTGAAGTGACATAGGTAYAATATCTGCTTTACTGTCTTTTTCACGTGCACAAACGCAATGTGAATAATTTTCACACAAAAAAAGAAACAGTTTTTATCGTGGTTTTATTTTAAAAACCTAATGATTTAGCGTTTGTTTTTAAAGTTATCATAACAATAAACCTTGTACTTTTCAGAGTTGGGAAACGAAAATGAGCACTTATTTACTGTACCTTT